GGCCAATGGGAGCTTCTGGGGGCGGTGCCTGAAGCAACAGCCCCACACACCCCTGCGCCCCTCCTTCCCCAGGTTCCATCGGCTTCCCGGAGCGGGCGCAGGGCAGGGCAGGCAGGCAGGCAGGGAGCCTGCCCTGCCCCGCCCCCGGTGCATGTCGGGCCGGAGCCGCTCTAGGTAAACACTGGGGGAGGGCAGGGGGGCCGCGAGGAGCTCGCGGGCCGCAGAAAATAACCCCGCAGGCTGCATGCAGCCCCCGGGCCACGTGTTTGAGACTCCTGGGTTAGAGTTAGGGATACTTCCAGCATCCTGGAATGATCTTCCTGGATCTGATTCTGATCTCAGTTATTCTGATGCAAATCAGGTGCAACTCCACTGAAGTCTGTGGTTCAGTCAAAGTTAAGCACGTGCTCGAGTGCTTTGCTGAACCAGGGCCCAAAACAACATGGTCTGTGGGACACACAATATGCTGTGGAGACCAGTCTTAACCGGCGTGGACCTAGCTGGTTTGCTGTCCCAAATGTCTGTAATTCTGTGATTTCATGTCTTCTTGCCTTGAATGTACTGCTGAAGGCCAAGTGATTGGGTAACGTTAACAAGAACAAAAGACTTTGCAACCTGTGTTATGTGAAGATTTGTGTGGCCACCTGCAGCCCAGCTGTCTAATTCCATCAGGCAGCCTTCCAGCCACTTACAGGAGAAGGGAAAGATTCAATCAGCGATGGACTCCAGCTGGGAGTCTCCTGCTCAGGTGTAGAGCAGAACAGGCAAAGAAGCTAGGATGACCAGATGTCCTGCTTTTATAGGGGCAGTCCCGATTTTGGGGTCTTTTTCTTATATAGGCTCCTATTACCCCCCACCCCCGTCCCGATTTTTCACATTTGCTGTCTGGTCACCCTAAGAGAAGCTAATCAAGATTTAGAATCGCTGAGCCAAATTAAGACCTGGTCCAAATGGGTGGAACAGCAGTAGCTGTAAATGGGCTAGAATCAGGGGACAAGTAACGGAGTGGTGTAATTTGCCCTCATCTAGCATTCAAGGTGTGCGTAAAACAAGGGGTAAGTAGCCTCAGTATTCCCACTATTTCTAAGGCTTTAAAGCACGGAAAAAATATTGTAGGGGAAAATCTTTCAAGCCTTCTTTATGCAGCATAAAGCATGGGGGTGGGCACACAGTGGCATAAGCTCATTTTTAAAAAATTCCTGAACAGGTCACCTTTACATTCCAAGCTCTAAGGATAGAGTCTGTATCAACTGAAAGCTGGGAACTGCCCTCTCCCAGTGGTATAAATCTGGTGTTTCTAGCCCTGAATGAATGCAAGATATTAGACCTTAAACATGTCACTAGCTAAGGACTGAACATTATCCATCCCAGGCCAGAATCATCTGAGTAAATGGAGGGAGGGATTCAGCTACTAAAATGTTTCTGAATCAGGTTAACAAAAAAATGGCAGCTTTTTGAAGCTGCTCAGAGGTTTCGAAGGATGGAAGTGGCCCACTAGGGAGTTGGATGAGTCAGCAGAGCGCAGGTGAAAGAGGTATGATAAATACAATTATCACATGGCTGCAATTTACCACATGGTTCTGCAGTGAATCCCGTGGATATCCCCCCATATTGTCCTTTTCTTTGCTAATGAAGTCAAGTTTGCTACCAATTAGTCTCTTAAATTACTAGTCCCCATTCAGTATTCAGTGCTAGAGGCTGTGAGGCACACTACCACAGTACTCTCCCTATATGTAACTGTTATTCACAGACAGCCTAAAATCCTTGAACTGGCCTGGTTGATCTCCATCCCACAGCCTAGAGCCTTCAATGAAGCTGCTGCACTTTTGACAATCCGGTTGCATATTTAGATGCCTCAGCTAAGGCCTTAGCAACCTAACTTTAGGCAACCATGTTTGAAACGCTTGTCTGCTGTTCCTTTACTCCAGCCTGGTCTCTGTTCTTTCTTCACCTTCCTGCATAAACTGCATTTTTGATGTGAAGAAGGTAACAATTTGCAATGAATTTGCCTTGACTTTCTGTGCTTGGTGAATATTTATGCCTGTTCCCATAGCTAACACGCAGAGATCTGTTTTGATTTATTTTCACTCGGGCCAGTGGGAGGCAAACAAGACTTGTTATGTTTCAAAATCTTCCATTCATCCTCCGCGGTACAGAGAGAAGCTGTGTGCTTCTGTATAACTTGGGCAGACGTTAATACACGCTCAGAATGTGTATTTTGCCTACTACATCTTTTTGGGCTCAGCAGAAAATTAAAGACGAAATCTTCTCTGTGCCATTGACTTCAGCGGGAGTCAGACGTGAACAAAGCAAGCAGGATTTGGCTCTAAATGGAATTACATCTCGGTCTCTGTGTTATAATTTATAATTTTGGCTTGCTCAGTATATTGCACAGATAGGTACAAATCAAGTCTGAAGAGGGTATGTATGGTGCTACATCTTGTTGCTTGAAAGACTGTTTAGAATTCCAGTTTGCATAAAATGGTATCAATGGACAAATAATTCATAATGACATCGAGGGACCATATTTCAAGGCATAAGCATTAACTGCATTTTCTGGCTTCCAAGGGCCTGATTTCTCAACCTTCACATATTAACAATGATGGTTTTTCTAATCAGAATCGTACCAACTCTTTCAATTTCATTCATTCCACCTCTGAGGTTTGAAGGTATTGTTCTGTTGCATCAAAAACCAGAGCAGGCTCATTGAATGGAAACCCACCTAGTTCTTTGTGCAAAAGGCAAAGGCCTCCCAGAAAAAGGTGAACAGCTGCTAGCTAATTTCATTCACTCTGGGCTGGACAACACCCCCAGCCAAAGGGGAAAATCCAGATTCCCTCCATCTCACACACTTGAAAAGCCAGCTCTGCTCTCCGGCCCAACAACCAAGGACCAGCATTTTCTCCATGTCCAGGTGTCTGAGGGTTGCAGTGTAGTGAGGGGCGAGCCCTGGGGCAGATCTGATGGGTGCTACAAACAGGCCAGTTAGATTTGCTCTAGCCCGGGCGGGGCTTGCTGCCTTCCCTGCTCCAGTGTCAGATGGTTGCCCAGGCCCGCGTCCGGTCACAAGGAAAGAGGGGGACCTGGGATGCGGCCCCTGCAGCCTTGAACACAGGCGCTGTTGGGTCCCACACTAGGTGCTTCCATCACCTCGCCCTCTTCCAGCTCAGTCTCCGGGAGGCACCGGCTGAGATCAGGCCGGTCTCGGGGAGCTACACCGCGCTGGGTGCGGGCGAAGGGCCCTGAGCCAGGCCCGCGGGTTGGCTCCAGCTTTGCTCTGTCGCCTGGAGCGGGCTGGCTCCTCTCCCCCGGGCCGCCCCTGCAGCCCGCACTGCGCGGCCAGGAGGCTCGATCGCTACCCCAGCACCACGGCCAGCCAGGGCATTAACTGAGCCACCCCGGCGGGCTGCAAACCAGCCCCGGGCGAGCTCGCTTTCCCGAGCCAGCGGAGCTCGGGCGGGCACAGGACCCCACCGCCCCTCCTCTCACCTGAATCGCTCCTGCCCGGCCGTGTCCCAGATCTGCAGCTTGATCCGTTTCCCCGGCTCAATCTCCACCAGCCGGGAGAAGAAATCCACGCCCACCGTGGGGTCCGAGACCTGGGCGAAGCGCCCCTCGGTGAAGCGGCGGATCAGGCAGGATTTGCCCACGGTGGAGTCTCCGATCACGATCAGGCGGAACTGGTAGAGCCAAATCGCTTCCATGCTTCCCCCCAGCGGCTCGCCCCTGCGCCCAGGTCTGGCCTCGCTGAGCGCTGCGCCCAGGGCTCGCCTGGTGCAATGCAGCCTTTGCAAAGCGCCTAGTACCAGGCACGCTCCACGCAGCCCATGCCGAGCCCTGCCCGGATGCGAGGGAGGCTCTGCGGCCAGCAGGTGCCCGGCGCTTCTGCTCACAGTCCTGCAGCCGGGTCCAAGGGAGGCACCCAGCAGAGGGCGCTGTAGGGACACTGCCCACCAGAGGGCGCGCTGCCTCGCCCGCACTGCCCACCAGAGGGCGGCTCAGTCTCACCGCTGCTGCTAGGTTCTGGCTTTCTTCTTTAGGAGAGAAATACAAGCACTACAAGGGCAGGTCTGCGTGGAAGGTGGGTATCAGGGAAGCCTTCAAAATGCGTGGGATCGCTCTTCCCCTGGCCAGTCATGGTTTCTGGCTGCTGGGAAATCTTCTCGAGGGAGATGCGGGTGGCAGGATTGCACCCCCGCCTCTGCCTCCAGTTCTGCAACACACACGCAAGATGTCTCTGCTGGAAATGCAAAGGTCAGATGGTCTCCATTTTGCCCCAAACCCTCCTAGATTTCCCTCTTCGCCACCTGTTGTTTTGCTTTTTTAATCAGGATCCGACATGCATTTTGCTACTGATCCGTATTTCCCTTCGCAATTGCAGAGAAATGCTTTTGTAATTCATTGAAAAGAACTTGGCAATGGCTGGCCTAGTTACAAAAGCAGAAAAGGGGTTGGATTGAATTTCCAGCTCTCATTCAAGGGCTCCAACCTTTTTTTCTCTCTCGCTGTGTTAACACAAATATCTAGAGCTATAATTCAGCAGCCTAAATCCAGGTCAGCAAGGAAGGACTCCAAGAAAAGGTTCTGAATCCCCCTCACCAAAACAGAATCCACCCTGCACACAGGAAGATCAAAGCCTCCAGGTTCAGGAAGTCCGATCTTGATTAAAACAAAACAAAAAAACCCAACCCGATGCTAGAAGGCTTCCTAGGCGCTATTATTCTGTGCCTCCAATCAGGGATTACAAAGGGGATAGTCCTCAAGGGCACCCGGCTAGCTCCAGAGCAGAGGTTTCATTTCCCTGCAGACAGAAGAATCGCAGCCCTTCCTCCAGTGTGGACTTCAGTCGCAGAGATGCCCAGGGTTGTAAAGATGGAGAGCTGGTGAATAGGGGATGCTGGGGATCACAGAGCTGATGAAATGGCAGCAACATCAGCACCAAACACTCTGACTCATCATTGGCATCAGCAGCTACTGTAATCCCCAGGATAGAGGAGCAGCCACCTTTTGTCTTACTCTACCACATTGACTAGAAAAGAAGCTACTCACCAAAAAAAACGAACACAACAGAGATTCATATTTTAGCTGAAGACAAAGGAAATTAGCAAACGGATCAACCTGGTAAAACGAAGAGGCGCATTGTGCAAGGCTCAGCCACCTAGACATGCTGGCAGTGAACATCTAATATTATCATGATTTATTATTTCTATTTTGGGAATCCCCATAATGTGCTAGGTGCTTTCCTCATGTGTAGAAGACACTGTCGCTGATCCAAAGAGCTCACAATCTGGATAATGATGCTTTTAACTAATGGAACATTTTGTACTTGAAATAAAATAGCGACACTGGTATATCTTTGCAAATATTCACCCCTAAAACAAGTGGCTAATGAAAAATATTCGAAGGACGAATTATTTAAATATCACAAAACTCATTGATTAAATTTGACCACTTTTATTTTAGCAATGTTTTGAATGAGCATTCCTGTCTGCTACACAGTGCTGAGCACAATGCCCGGGCTCTAGAAGCAACAAACGATAGTCTTTTGAGCAACATCAGCATGCTTAGTGTTGTCCAAACAAAACCACAGAAACAAGTAGTTGTAGCTAATAGCTTTCATCCTGAAGGAGCACACAGAATTTTACACATTTACCCATCACTTGCAATGCAGCCATCTCTGGAGTGGAACATGGCAGCTCTTTAACACCACATAGCTGTGTAGAACAAGCTAATTAGATTATAAACTCAGGGCGGAGACTATCTTTAACTCCGGTGTTGGTACCTAGTACAATGGCTCGTTGATCTTGACTGAACTCTTTAAAATGGAAAAACAGTATGCTGAAAATGACACCAAAAATGTTGATTGAATTTTTAATGTAGCGAATCACGAAAAATTCAAATGTTGAAAGTGTGGACAGTTGGTGAATCGTTTTGATGAAGAAAAAGGGACATTTTTTGAACAAAAAGATTTGGTTTTGTTCAAAAAATTTCTACTAACTCTAACACGGACCTGGTAATAAATAATAAATGAAGAACAACTGTATCCAGGTGACACCGCAAGGGCATTTATTTAGGCAGATGTGAATTTCCTAACTTGGAATTTTACCAGGATACTTACTTTAGTGTTCTTATTCCTGTAAAAAATGTCAAGCGATTTTTAATGGACTTTAAATACATAATTTATTAATTTAAAATATTTACCCAGGAAGTTCTCATTTCAGTAATATCTTGGGAATGGAGGGAAAGGATGCTTCAAGTAGCTACAGAAATAGGACAACAGCGTGATATTAAAAACATTAATCAAGGTTAGCTTTAAATTAACCAGAGCATTGTTAACAGTAATACTTGGCACCTATCAATTGTATTTTACCCAACAATTTCAAAGCATTTTGCAAATGTGAATTAAGCCTCACAACAGATCTCGCTGTTTATCACTATTTTTTCACACTCCTCCCCCTCCCCCCAATGTGTGTCTTACATTTGGACATTACAGAAGGCTAATGAATCTAATATTACAATTATTATTAGTCATTATTTTAGAGCACTTCAGTGTGTATTAGCCACTTTAAAGCATTTCTAAAAGACAAAGACCTTGCCTCTGTCCTTACAGGATTCCTAGTGCACAGCAGCTGAAGGACATGGCAAACAAAAGAGAAGGGATGAGTACGGCAAGGGTTACAATAATAAACCACTTGGTTACTCAGCTGCAGGCAAATGGACAGCTCCAAGGTTGCTAGCATGTGTCTGTATTAACTTATTTTCTGTAGGTGAAACAAGAAGAAATGTACTTAGGAGAACTATAAAGAAGGAGGAGGTGGCATCATGAACTGGGACTGGGAGGATGCTCCACTAGAAAAAGGCATAAATGTGAAGGTGGGTGAAGCTAACAAAGAGTCCCCAGGCCTGGTATCGTGGGTGTGGCAGATAACTGCAAAAGAGCCAGGTATGTGAGCCAGGGCTGAGTTCACAGTCTGATCACTGAGCTCCAGTGTGGTTTTCTTCAACATGGTGGGACTGAATCCCGAGGAATTCCCTGAGCATCAGGGCCTGTATTTCCCACCAGACAAGCCATTAGGGTCACAGGAAATATCCTTATTTTTATTTCCTTCAGACACATGAATACAGATGACCATAAACGGCATGACTAGGCAGCCCAGACGTTAATTAGTAGCAACTGAGAAAGCAGAAGAGAATGACAGCCTCCGAGAAATTTTGTTCCGGGGCAATTTTGGAAAGTGATAAAGCTGGTGCCTAAAAGAAACAAAAGTGTGCAAAATACCTACTCGGACTAGCTAGCTAGAGGATGTCAACGTTTTCAGTCAGGTCAGTAATCTGCAGAGAGCATAAATGGACAGGAGAGAACTTAACAATGCCACATAGCGTATCAGTGATCTGTGGACTCTTTCCCATTGCTGTAATGACAGAGTACTGAAGGAGTTCTTTTAAAATGCTGTTCTAAAGGTCAGCAGAAGATTTGTGAACTGCATAGTTCAGCCTATGGCAGAAAGTTTCAAGGCTGCCCTGAGGCACCATTCACATCAGCACACCTGGCGAAACCTTTGGCACTAAGCTAGCAGCCAGTGTGATTCAGGGTTCCTTGCTAGCGCCCTTCATGTCCCACATGCTGTCTCTTTAACGCGAGCCTGGAAAGCCTCATGCCAGCTTTGAAAATGGCCTCAAGCCACATTCGTGAAACCAGCTTAGCATATTGGCAAACAAGGGTCTAGCTCCTTCCCTCACTTTTGCCCTGGCAGCCCCCTGAAATCAAAGGGTAGAAACAAGACAGCATTTGGCTCAAACTAACTGATGTTAGCCTCAGAATTGGGCTGACAGTTAACCCCTCGCAGGACCACTCCAGTGCTGGCAGAGCTGAACAGTTATGTAGTGCAGCCTAGGGTCAAGGCCCCTCTGCCAGGTGGACGGGGCTTACCATGTAGTCATTGTAGGCCTGGATGTAGCTAAAACATACATTTGTTTGCTGAGAGTGTCTTTAGACTACAGAGGACCTGCCTTACTCAGAAACTTGTTTTAAGACAGGAAAAGCCAAGGGCCTGAGGAGAGGTCCTTTTTCTGTCTCTTCTGCAGCATGACTGCTGTTATTGTCATACTGATGGCTGAGGCTTTAAGTGTATTTTGCAGGCAGAGGGCTTTTAAAATGCAATTCTAGCCCCATTTCAAATCTGTGCTGGGCTCGTGTTGCTGTGCACTGAATTGCTGTGCCACTCCAGAGGCAGCCGCACTTTAGTGAAATGAAGCACTGATAGCTAGATAGTTTCAAAGCCAGTTTAAACACGTAACGTCAATTACAATGGGAAGCGAGTCTCCGAAGCCCATAGGCACCACTGAAACTTTCCACCCTAATCCTTAACTCTTACACTGCATTTCTCACACATAGATTGCTTTATTAGCCCCATTTTGCAGATAAGGAAAGAAGGCCAGAGTGCGCTAGCAGGACTTGCCGTATCTCCTACAGCAGGACGTGCTATTGTCTGTTCTTCCCCACTGTGGCAGGGCCTAGCTAGCTATCTTCTGGGCAAGATGCCCCTGCCAGCAGGAGTTTGCAGGAATTACTCTGCATCTGTCTGTAAAGTGCTAACACTTGTACGTATGGTAGAAGAGTTCTGCCTTCCTGCGCAGGGTTCTACCAGCTGCCCTGCACTCCTAGTGACTTGGCACTGAGTGGGGGGGGGGTACAGAAGGGAGGGGAGCAGTAGTTCCATGGCATAAACTCCTTCCCCCAGATCCTGCACATGCCCCTCTGCTCCAGGGGGCCAGGGCCTGCGCTACTCTGATCCCAATGGATATCCCCACAGGAGTTAACACTGTGCCAGGCAGGCCAAACACAAGCCCCAGGCCTGTACCGCCTTTGGGGAGGGGTCTTTTCACGGGAGCCGGGCTGAGGGAGCTGTGCACGAGCTGCCATCTCTACAGAGGGGCTGGTGCACGGCAGGGCTGAATCATTCCTTTTCCTGCCGAAGCCTGGCATGCTTTGGGTTTGGAGGCTGCCCGCTCAGGCTCCTCGCTGGGCCCCAAACCCCCTTCCTAGGGGCCTATGCAGAGGAAATGCTGTGACATGAAGCTGACAGAGTTTTTTGTGCTTCCCCCCCTATCCCCCCCCACCACACACACAGCCCCTGCGCTCTGTGGCAGGCAGGTAGGACACTGGGAATCACTCCTGCACTGAGAGCTGAGTGAGTTTTCCTCTGCCTCGCCCAACACTAATGAGATGAATCAACTGAGGACTGAAAATAGCACAAGCAATTTGTGACTAACTAGCCAGTCATTGAAGGGCGTGTGTGTAAATCCTTTCGCTCCTTGGCCATGCAACGGGGTAAACGCCAACCACTGGGGGTTGCATCTGCTCTTCCCTCTGCTCACTGGGCAGCTTTGCTGGGCATGAACTGGAGTGCCTGGACCATGCACCCCAACAGCCTGATAGCCGCCGACGCTGCTGATTGAACAGCCTGCCCCCCGGGGCCAGTCTCCCTCCCATTTCAAAATTCAGCCAACTCTGCTGCTCATTGCAGTATAGTGGGTGGAAGTGTTTGATCAGCTGGTACGTAGCTGCACAGAGCACCTTGGCCGATGGCTCCTTTGTTGCTGGCCCTGCTATTGCACTGTGGCGGAGACCTGGCCGCGATGGGGCAGTGATATGCATTGCTATTCGGTGTAGCCCTGAAAGAGGCTGTAATGAAGCGGCAGGCGTCTCTACGTCCCACACTGCATCTGGCGCCCGCGGACATCTTCAGGCTACGCTTGTTGTAAAGTTACCCAGTCTACAAACAACGAGCCTGTCTGAAAACCCAGCCCTGTTGCCTCTGGGCGTGACTCAGTGCAGCAGAGGGGCAGGGGCTGAGCCAAATGGTAAAGGCAGCGGGGAAAATGCACACTTGCTGTCTTGCAGCATTTTTGCTGCAAACAAGGAGGGGCCTTCGCGAGAGTCACACCGCTCTGCCATTTCAGCAGCAGCTTTGAGCTGCTGGGGGTGCATTGCTTGTCTCAAACCAGAGCCGTCTCCAGGCACCAGCTGAGCAAGCTGGTGCTTGGGGCGGCAGATTGTTCGAGGCGACATTCCGCCCAATCCTAGGGCGGCACGGCCGTTTTTTTTTTTTGTCCGTTCCGGCCGCCCTGTAGGGGGCGCGGCGCGGAGAACCAGAGCGTC